GTTTTTTTTTTTTTTTTTTTTTTTTTTTTTTTTTTCCTTCTTGAGAAACAGAATAAAATTACAAACAAAAAAGGGGCGTAGATGATATCTATCTATAAGTAGAGGCTTAAATTTGAGGGAGGGGGGAAAAGGAAGGCAGCGTTCTAAACTAAATAAATGACCTGGAATTATCGACTGCGCCAAGCAGACAACGCTTACAGAATGTCGTATTCAGTACAATCTACAGGATGTTTCGTGCGATAGTCGCAATTGGTCAAAGCAGCAGGCAGCAATTGGAGACCTGCAAATTCGTGTTCAAGAAGCAACATTAGAGAAGACATTCCATAAGTAAAAGCTGCAAAGCCCCCCCTCTAACATGTTGTAGCGGTCTGCATTCTCATTCAAAAGGACTAATCGATCCATCGGTACATTTCTTCAACTCGTGGCCAATTTAAAAACGAAAATTTTCAAGCCAAGCCGCTTTCTTCTGCTCCCTGTAAAAGAAAGAGGAGCACAAGGAAACTCTACATTAAACTACTTTTCAATTGGTCAATGTTAATAATGTAAGAAAGTCAACTCTAATCAAGAATAATAGTACACAAAAACCGTGCTATTCATCACTACAGTAATCGTACAATCATATGTCTGTGCAATGGCGTATCATTATGCAATTCATCTCTGTTAAAAAATGTCTACCACTCAGCCTTAACAGTAAGTATAGGAAGAGAACAGAACACCCTTTATAAGGGTGTGGAAACCTCTCCCTATCGGACGCGTTTTAAAAACCTTGAGGGGAAGCCCAAAGAGGACAATATTTGCTAGCGGTGGGCTTGGGCTATTACAAATGGTATCAAAGCTAGACACCGGGTGATATGCCAGTGCCAGTGGATTGGAGGGGGTCTTACATCGATTGGAGAATGGAACGAGTGCCAACGAGGATGCTGGCCCTGGAGGGGGTGGATTGTGAGATCCCACATCGGTTGGGGATGAGAACGAAACACCCTTTATAAGGGTGTGAATACCTCTACCTAGCAGACACATTTTAAAAACCTTGAGGGGAAGCCCGAAAGGGAAAACCCAAAGAAGACAATATCTATTAGCGGTGGTGGGCTTGGGCTGTTACATGTAGATACAGAAAATTATGCACAAAATTGATGGGAAGAACAACGGTGTTTTGAACTGAAATACCAAAAGTGCCGGGATATAATCTCGTTTTAAGCACAAAAGGGTAGTAAGAACAATGGTGTTTTGTACTGAATTTCAACTAATGGCTTCAGAACAGAAATCATTGTCTTGAAAAATAATTGGCTTACCCAATTCCACTCAGAATGGAGCTTCAAGAGACTCATCCCAAACTTCTGCACTTCCATTAGAGGCATCTTCCACATCTTCTTCCATCGAAAGCCTAATATATTCTCTATGCGCAAAACGGTCCCATTCTGTCAAAGTAGGATTCTCCCGTTCCTGCAAGCCACGAGGTCAAAATTGTTGCCAGTAATATAAGCACAGAACATTGTCTGCTAATTTATCATAGCTGATCACAAAGCAATAATATCGACCTGAAATAAAAGTTCACCTACCTGGCGGATAAGAAACGGATCACGGGTTTCAAAGGCCATAAACTTATTCAGATTGAAAAGAATATTAAAAACACTTCCAGAAAGCTTGCAGCCTTTCAGATCCCGTAGACTGATATAATTCTCGTTCTGCAAGCAAGACATTGCGTAAAGCACAACAATATCATTTCGTAATTCACATCCTAACTAAGAAGAACAGAACTAATAAAGGAGTAGAGGCTGAACCTCTGGTCCAATCATATCAATTATCTGGCACAAAATATCCTCAAAAAGCACAGGTTCTTGAGCCATGCATTCCATACGATGTAACTGCTCCTCATAAAAGAATTGCAATTCATTCCGCGTTAAAATTCCATTACCATCCAAATCTATGCACTTGAACCTAGAAAAAACAACAATGCGTAATCAAAATGGGGCTAGTCCCAAACTTGGTCAAGAAATGGAAAACTGAAGAAGACAAACCAGAGTAAATAAACAAAGATCATACGAACTGCAACTGAAAATATGATGTATAAATAATTTACATAAATAATTTGGTCAAGAAATGAACAAAAGGGCATGATTTATATAAATAATTTACAAGAAAACAAAAATTTACATTGAAAAGATGAAAAAATTACAAAGAAAGTTCCAATAACTTCCACGAGTAGAATATGAACAACCCAACCACAAGGCAAAAGGATTTATCTTTTATGCATACAAAATCGCTAACCCAAACCTAAATAAAAAATTATAAAGGGACGTCAATTAACCAAACAACATATGTTAAAAGGGAAACTAGAATTTCACATTACTGTATTGACAGAATTGATCAAATAACATTGATTTATAACTTTTTTCCATCTTTATAATTATAAATACAATGTTGTACATGTAAAATGTCCAGAGAAAGGGGGTACCCAACAAGCAGATTTAGAAAAAGGCAATGCAGTAAGCTGAATATAAAAATAAAGTGAAGATCCCTAGGGCAAAGGTCAAAATGAACACCGTTGTCTCAAGAATTCAACTGCACAAATTTGTTGATCAGTACTAATTAGCACATGTTTCATCAAATTCATTGGCCATAATGCCTGAAAACTTGAGCCATCTTACAAACAGTCTATATGACCTGGTAAAGTATTAGAAAACACCAATATTCACGATAAGGACAGAACATACCAATACTCAAGGCTAGGCTCTGACGATTTATCTTCCTCGGACAATATAAAATAAACGAAATCTTCATATCCCATCCTACCTTCAACCTTACTAGTAAACTTTCTTGAAACCTAGGATTGCATGGAATCATTTAAAGAGGTTAATGCTAGTAATCACTTTATAAATAAATTCAACACAGAAAAAAAATAATAAATCTATACATTCCAAGGAAGTTTCATTTAAAACTGAAATCTGGCATCTAATTAAGTCATTTTGTAAAAAAAAAAACAAGATCCCAGATAATATTAACCAACCTGAGAGAATATTCTATCAACAATCCGGTAGGTAAGAGCATGATTTCCATATTTGATAAGGTTCTCCTTGTCGATCAAGAAATCGTGATCCGTGTCCAGCTCCCAAAATTTGCAGTATATTACATAGAAGTGCTCATATGAAAAGTATCTACAATTCATGATTAAAACACATTAAATAAGGTCAAGAGCAGACCCCAAGAAGCAAACACATGAACATAATATATCAATCCAAGCTAGCAAACACATGAACATAATATATCAATCCAACCTAGAAGTAACATATGTAACGATAATTAAGAGGTTCAAAATGCCCTACTTTTTCTTCTTATGCCATGTTCTGATAAAAAGGACTAAATCCTTAGGCCATCTCCTCTTTTACATTTTTTAGACCACACTAGAGAGAGAAAAAGAAAGATTCTTAGTGGTCGGATCTGTTTTGGTGGTTGGATTCAACTACAAATTGGAAAAAAAAATAGTGGTACGGTTCCCGACTTGAAACCAATAAACACACCACCATTAAATTCTTATGCTCCTCTATAAGGGATATTAGCAAGACAAAACCCCATCTTTTTTCTTTTGCAAGAAACAATGTATTAACTCAAAAATTACAGGAAGAGCTAGATTGAAAATCCACTGTGAACCAAGAACTTGTGGGAGTTCATGGAGAACTCCTCAATGGACTGAAATATAAAACTAAACTGAAATTACAAAAAGAAACTCCCTTATAGGATAAAAGCTGGAAGAAAAATGGTAAAACCACCAGTGAGATTGAATAGGAGAAAGAAAACTCATGATTGCAACATACAGCATTCGTTTTTTATCACAACACAAAAATGCCTTCGTTCATAAACCCTACCTCAAGACTTTGTTGATGTCCTCTTCTTCATCAGCATGTTGCATTGCATCAATCAAATTTCCACGTTTGAGCTCCCTGAGTGAAAGCTGACCATTTCCAGCTCTATTTATATAGTAATATATCCTATATATTACTGTTTCAGCTGGTTCACAAAATAAAAGTTCATTCAAAAAGTGAACAACAAAAATATAAAGAGCCGTAGTGTAATTGCATTAAAAAATGTGAATTTAAAAGAATCTAGAATCAAGCAGGTTTATGATGATTTATCATAGCATGAAGCCTTGTGGGAACCCAATAACAAGCCCCTGCCTGAAATTCAAATTGCATACAACAGCAGGCATCTAACATGGACTGCAAGGTCAATTCTAATACACCCAGTGCCTAACCAACAATGCTAATGTCAATAGAAACCAACAATTTATACAACTGGATGAACTGCACTGCACGACCAAAGAAAACTAGGGCCATATTCTTTCAGAAAAAATAAACTGCCGCATTGCAACTGAAGAAGAATACTAAACAAGAGAAGAGAATAAAGGGCCCCACTCTAGTGCCATACTCTTTTGGAAAAGCAGACGATCACACTGAACCAGAAGGAGAATACTAGACGAGAGAATAAAGGGCCCCACTCTAAATTATGAACAAATGACCTAGAAATATTACAGAATCTCCATCTACTCAATGACATCAAAATAGGAAAGTTACGAATCTTTTGTACTGGAAATCCATTCAGAAACATAAAGATTTAAATCCTACACATCATCAAGCTCTCAGCCTTTTGAAACACTATGCATTTGATTCAGAAACAAAGGATTTGACTCCACTTTTCAAAAGAGACAATGTTCAGAGCAATGGAGGTGTACCCAAGGATTTCTTAGAACGGTATAACATTGGCAACCTAAACTGAAACCTATTTACAGTTGCTACAAGAAGAAGTTGGTCTCACCCTTTACATAATCATAGACGATGTCCTAAGCGATGAGGATTTACGGGCTACTTGTAAGTCAGATTTCATGCCTAGAGAAAAGTTTCTATTGTAACTTTATGTTTGAAACAATATCAAATATCTTAAAGATATTGAAAAGTTATAATAAGCTTAAAAGGGAAAGGGAAAGGGAAAAGAAAAACTCAAAAGCTAATGAAAACATAAAAAACTGTTTCATCCCCCACAAATGAAGCCCATATCTCCTTTTTCATCTTATTCTTTAGACATCAATGTCCTCATTTCTTTCTTGGTTGCATCCCAAAAAAGGCAGAAAGCTTCGTGGATTTTTTTTTTTAAAAAAAAAAAATCATGTCTGATGGAATAGGTTTTGAATTTGTTTAGTACTTCAGGATTTTGTTATGCAGCTAGTTATATCCTACTAGTAGAACTTAGTTACTTCAGTAACTTTTCATTTTATCAATGAAAATTCTGTCCTTTGTCAAAATGTAGGCTCCTATGTTAAATCCAAGCTTGCAAGGTGAAAGGCAATTATTCCCATTGTTCTCTTTCTCGTCCTTTTTTACTTTGTAAGGTGAAGAAGCAATTACTAAATGTTCTCTTTCAAGGATGCCTCATCCTCCCAAACTTCTGATAATCTTTTTACAATAAAGTTCTGGATTTGTTCGTAATTAAAACAAATATATAATATTATAAATATCATGATGAAAGAGATTTGATAGTTCAAAAACTAGAGAACGGGGTTGATTAAACTAATCAAAGACAGACAGGATTCTTAGGAAAAATAAAGTACAAAGCAAACCATAAACATCCATATATTTAAAGCAGTGTAATTCAGACAAGAGGCACCAACCATATCTGTCCTGAAATTCAGGAGTGCTCTGCAGGAATTCCAACCCTGGGTGCGTTGTTAAGAGTTCTCGAAGCACAGGTTTGAAGTCATCCTGGCATAAAATCAAAAAATTCAACTCTACTGAGAACAAGATTATACGTAAAATATATTTTTTGTTACTTCAGATGATATCTCCTTCGAATTTCATTTAACCAATTGCCAAATACAATTTTTGTGTTCAATAAAATAGGTAATAAATAACACAAAATAATTCATAGAAAACTGCATGTTACTTATGCTGCTATAGCAACACTAAAAAAAAAAAAATAAATAAATAAAACTTTTTTCATAGAAAACAATACTCTAATATTTAGTGATATTTTGATATACATAACAATGAAAATTTATTTATACAATATAATGATCGGGATTAGGGAGGAGAAGAAAGGAAAGATGAAGAACAGAAAGTAACCTGAGTCAAATACTTGAGATCTGGCTGCTTTAAAATCTTAAAAATTTGGGTTGCTATATCCAGTGTCAACATGTTTCCATTGATCCAGTATTCAATAAAAGCATCCCTGCAACATAATGATGATAAACAGTATCAGACGTGATTCAAGTAGGAAAAAAAATAAGGAAAGAGAAACCCCAATATTTTTTTTTTTTTATTAATTAAGGGTGTTCAGGTCGTCACGTGTTTCAACTAATATCACAAGACAAGGCCTATAAAAATCATGTTATTCCTCTCAATTCAAATACCTTGTAAACCACAAATGTTGTACTGAACTAACTAATAATGATTCACTCAACCCACCAACCATGATGATACAAACTAAATCCAACCAAAGATGGAATGCAGAATAGTGCATTGGCAACTTCAGTTTCAAGTCCAAATCAATTTATCCATAAGTCTTGCCTTGAGATACCTTCTACTTTCCTTAGTTGCTTCCATGTGGTGTTCTCTTTGCAATTCTTCTTGTAATTGTAATCTTGTTCATATTAAGGCCAATTGGGAGTCCTTTTTGTAACTCTTTGGTGGTTTAGGAAATCTCATCTCCCCTTTCGTAATCTCCGTTTGGTAATATATTCTTTTGTTTCTTATAGAAAAAAAGTAAGGAACCATGTTGCCGCCACCATGTAGCAAGGGGATTTGAGTTTGAAGTGGAGTTTACCATCCAAGAGCACATTTTTTTCCCCTCAATTCTCGAGGCAGTTTCACATTCTAGACTTTTTTTTAAGAAACCAAATTTCATTGAATGAATGGAAGAATACATGGGAATACAAAAAAACAAGCCTAAAAGAAGTGGGAATCCAAAACTAATTACAAAAAAGGGACTTCAATCCAAAAGAAGAAGACCATGGCGCAATTACAAAAAATACTAGGTGACCAATACCCTTAAGAAGTAAGAAGGTATAAAATCAAACAATTTCCCAAGCTTCCTCACCCAACTTCTATTCATCTCGAAAAATCCAATTGTTCCTCTTAAGCCAAATACCCCAACACACAGCAAAGGGAGGATGCAAAAGCACCTACTCCGATATAGAAACCTTTGGGGAAAAAAAATATGATGAAGAAGACTTAGCAAAGAGCCAAACTTACAACTCAAAGGTTTTGGAATCAAAGATGGCCTCCAAAAATAAAACCATCAATATAGAATCTTCTAAACTAGTCATAGCAATGAGAATGATGAAGAAGACATCATGCTCCTTAGAAACAGCATAGGAAACCTTATCGAGAGATTTCATAAAAGAAGTGGCCGAAGAAAAGAGATCGAGGGAATCTCCATAAACACTTTTAACCTTTGCAGAGGAACCATCAAAAGGTGGTTGGATGCTTGAGAGATTCAAAAAGCCAGCTTCAATTGATCAATTAAGATGAAGCCATACAAAGGCTGGTATTTTAACTACCATGTCCTATTCCAAAAAATTAGAATTAATTGCTTCAAATCCCAAGAACAACACCAACGATACATTAAATGATTTCAAACTGCCAGATTCTCCATTAATAGATTCAAATCCCATCAAGAACTCTTCCAAGCAAGGAAAATATTTGGAACTCTTCTTCAACTCCAATGGAAAAGAAGACAACACCCCTTCGCTAATTTTGCACACTTCTTCCAAAACCAACTTCTTCAAAAACAACTATACAACTATCGAGAAAGATTCATTGATGCCCTTTCATATCTTCAAATTAATCTTCCTTGAAATTGATGACAAAAAACCTGTCATTAGTTGCTATCTTTGATTCTTGAATAAGAACCATGTCAGGACAATGGTGATGCATAAATTTCTTCGCATGAATTCTTCCAAATTATTCCCCATCCTTCTAGGTTTCCAAAATAAAATCTACATAATATCAATTATCACAACTTTTCTGAATTCTGCATATTTATTTCTGGTCTGCCTTTGTAATCTTTCACTCTTCCTAACAAAGATATCCTTTATCCCAACAGAAAATATATATACATATATATCTTGGGAAGCAAAATCGAGCATAATTAGCAACATTTTATGGAGTTCATTGAAAAAAAGGGATAGCTAAGCTCATTTATTGAAAAAAAAAAGTACAAAGTTAAAAATACTTGTTGAGAAGCAAAAGGCGACTACGGAACAGTCACAAAAATGATGTCCTGTATATATATATATATATATATATATATATATATATATATATATATTATACAAAACGATTACAAAAACTACAAGTGAAAAGATGCCCAATATATAAATCATACTAGAACAATGTTCTCCAGCAACAAGAGAAACCTACCTCGATACAATGCCGGTGCTGTTAACATCTATCTTCCTGAAAAGAGAAGGGGAAAAGAATGATGGCAGCTTGCATACTTCTTTTGTAACTGCCCTAAATTCTGGCATAGCAGAAAGAGAGTTAGTGTCCATTGGAGGAATGAGACGTAAGTTTTTGAGATATCTCACCATGGACTTGCAATCCATCTAGGTGCCCGTAAAAAGCCTGGTTGATCCTGAACAGACATTGCTCCTTTATGTCAATTGGTGGTGGACGTCCATTTTGGAAGTAAAACTGCAGCATTTAAAGTTGTGCAATTAAGAACTACATCATAATCCCAGGAAAAGAAATTCAACTGATAAGACTAAAAGTATTTTATCTGAAACGTAGCTCAAAAACTATTAACAAATATTATAACAAAAGATAAAATTAGAAGGACCTGCGGAATTGGTTCTTTAATTGTCTCAGTAATCACTTTCAGCGGGGAGCCTAAATTAGAAGGACCAACCCTCTGTCTCATCACCCGAGGGGAACCCGATGTACTTCTCGGCGATAGAGGAGGAGCACTTCCAGCAGGAAATATAGAAGGAAGTGAGTTGCTAGCAGAAGCATGAGGACTAGAAGAATTTCCAGGCACATTCAAGGGTACACCAGCCTTCGCATCGTTTAACAATGACGTTACCTAACAGATACAATGGATAAATATAACGAATTCGAATACATTCCCATACACATGAAAACGAAGGATGAAGCAATGCCAACTAAAATCAAAACTGCCATCGTGACAACCCAGCTAGAAACAAGATCTTTTCAGCATGCTCTTGAGTCCGTATGACTAATAACAACTCAAATTCACACAAGTTCAAATAAAAAATCCACAATTCAACAAACTCCCCCAATTCAACGAACTTCATAATGCAAGGGAAATCAAAGTTACCAGCCGATTAGTGGCAGGGAGCGAAAGCCACTGCGCAAACAGCTTCTCGACAAAATCAGGATTGGATTTAATCGCCAAAGGAGAGACCTCAGCCAGCTGCAACAATTCAGCGTCCAACGACGCCACATCGCAAGAGATTTCCATATTCATCGAAACCAGCCCGTGACTCTCGCATGAACAGCACCGATATCAACCACCAACACCAATCACTTAACCCTAGATGCCAATTCCAACCCTCGAAACGCAATATTCCTCAAAGCATGATGAACAAGAACAAATCAAGATCACAAAAGGAACAAAACCCACAATTTCTTGATCGGATTCAAAGCTCCAGAGAAGAGAAGAAATCCCCAGATCTTCGGGAAGTGAGAGTGGGTATGGTGTGTCTAGCAACGAGAGAAACGAACAAGATTGAAAGGGGCAGAGAAAAATTCAGGAGCAAGATCTATTGGGATTAAAGGGATTGGAAAATGGGGAAATTGGGAGAGAAATTTGTCGAGAAAATGAAGAATCGAAGATGAGAAAGAATGGAAGAAACAGCAATGTGACGAAATAGTGTTTGTGAGGAATGGAAAATGGCGAAAGGAAAGCGCAGTTCCCTGTGGTTTATTAAGGCGTCTAAAATACGGTATACCATATCGCCTGCGCTTGTCACGTGCTACATTTGCCTTTTACCTTCATAAACTTCAAAAAGCAATTACTTTTTTTTTTAATTTATTTTAAATTAATAAAACTTTATATTTTGTCTTTAAAATTTTAAAAGAAATTAAACTTTTTACCGTTCAAAAATACCTATAATATTTTAAAATTATACTTTTATAATTTTATTTTTTCTTTTTTACCTTTATAATTTTATTTTAAATTAATAAAAACATATGTAAACTTTATATTTTTGTCTTAAAAATATACTAAAATTTTAAATTTTAAAAAAATTCAATAATACTTTTAAATTTTAAAAAATCTAAATAATATTCTTATCCTTAATTTTTATTTCAAAAATGTCAAATTTAATTTTTTTTTTTTTACATTTTTAAATTTATATTAAATTAATAAATACATCTCTAAACTTTATATTTTATCTTAAAAATATACTTAAATTTTAATTTTTTTAAAAATTCAATAATACTTTTAAAATTTTAAAAAATAAAAAATCTAAAAAATATTCTTATCATTAATTTTTATTTCAAAAATGTCTATTTAACTTTTAAAAAATTCATTAATACTTTTTTAAAAAATTAAAAATGCAAACTATGTTTAAAAAAATATCATAATTTTTGTCCTTTAAACCAAAGTTAATAAATTATTACTGGCAAAATTTTTAAGCTCTATTTTTTTAAAAAAAATAAGTTTTAAAATGTTTTTATTTTTTTAAATAAAAGTATTAATGAAAGGTTTAAAAATTCAAATATATTTTTAAAACTTTTCAAACGTATTTTTAAACCCTTTTAAAATATTAATTTTTATATCCAAAAACTAATGGTATTATTAAAATTTGAAAAAAAAATATTTTTATAAAATTGTTAATAAAGGTATGGATTTTATGTCTTTAAACTCATTTTTTTCCTTAAATATTTTAAATAAAAATGTAATTATATTCCTTTATTTATTATTATTTTTTTTTTCTTCAAATTACTTTTAAATAATTCATTTTGACATCAAATTTAATTATTATAAATTTCTCGAAATATTTTCTTATAAAGCTTTGTTATTACATCGATACCAGCCTCAACAAATGTACATAGACAAAAATTTAAATTCTAAATATTTATTGAACTCAAAATAAAAATTTTAAATATTATTCCAACACTAAAAATTAGGGTTTTATTACATTGAAATATTAAAAACCGCTATTATGATTTTAATTTTTAAATTTTTTTAGAGAAAATTAAAAATATCAAACTTGAGGGTGTTTGGCCTCAAATTTAGAGTCGAACATCCATCCATTCGAGTCTATCGAGGCATTTTCCCTCTTATGTCAATATCATATCATTTACAAATACCGTACCGAATAGCAAGTACACAATTCAACGTCCGACACGCAAGCTGGGGTGTAATACTGGCACACTCGCCCTCGCTGTGCCCCACATGGGGTAGTGGAGAGCTCACATCATGCCTCCTCCTATAGTAAATCGTGAGGATTGTGTGTTTGAGATAGAAACAACCAATATTTTGTCTCAAAAACATCCTTGAACTTTTAAAAAAAGTTCGTAACTCTTTGGTCCTTACCATTGGTACTCTGCTCACTAAAAGTACCCATGAAATTTTAAAGATAGCATTAACCGACTTAAAAATATTTTTTAAAAGTTAAAAAGTATTTTTGAAAGATCGGGTGTATTTTTTAAAAAAATATTATTAAATTTTTTTAAAAATTAGGGTATTTAATTTTTTACAGGGAAAAAGTATTTTTTTTATTAATTGAGCTAAAAAAAAGCAATAAATGGGAGAATAACGTATATGTAGACAATACACGTTCACAAGCACCCCTTTGCTGTGATCTCATATGACAGCCTTTCTCCTCAAACTCTAGCATTTAGGGCAGACGACAGAGAAATGGCTGAAGATGCTGAGTTCGAAGCGAAAGCCGGTGATTTGCTGTGTCAATTCGAACGAATTTTAGAGTCAGATCTTCTTATGTAAGTATATCATCTTATAAGAAGTAAGATTCTCCTTTGTTCGAGTTTGATTTTCCCGGAAATTTATGTAGTTTATAGTCTCAATTTGACGAAAAAAACCCTCTGCTAGATTCCATATACTGATGGTTAATTGATGTTTTTTCTTGCTACCTATGATTGTATTGGTTTGAAGATCATCGTAGCGGAACGAACGATTAATGTACAGTTACAGTTCTAGTTTTGAGGAATTTTCATTTTGATACGTACCTGATTTGGTTGCTAAATCTAATTTGTCTGATTATGGGGACGGCATTTCTATGAAGATTTGTCTGATTGTTGAGGGTTGTTGGGAGGGTGTGTCCCTGGTAGCTAATTTAGGGAATGATCATGAATTTATAGGTAAGAAATATATTTCTATTGGTATGAGGCATTTTGGGAAAACCCAAAGCAAAGCCATGAGAGCTTATGCTCAAAGTGGACAATATCATACCATTGTGGAAAGCTGTGATTTCTAACATGGTATCAGAGTCATGCCCTTTAACTTAGTCATGTCAATAAAATCCTCAAATGTCGAACAAAGAAGTTGAGAGTCTCGAAGGTGTAGTCAAAAGTGACTCAAGTGTCGAACAAGGGGTGTACTTTGTTCGAGGACTCCAAAGAAGGAGTTGAGCCTCGATTAAGGGGAGACTGTTCGAGGGCTCCATAGGCCTCAGGGGAGGCTCTATGGTGTACTTTGTTTGAGGAGAGGATTCTTGATGATTGTTGGGAGGGAGTCCTACACTGGCTAATTTAGGGAATGATCATGAATTTATAAGTAAGGAATACATCTTCATTGGTATGAGACCTTTTGGGAAAACCCAAAGCAAAGTCACGAGAGCTTATCCTTAAAATGGACAATATCATACCATTGTGGAGAGTCGTGATTCCTAACAATGGGGATTATTTCTCTGAAAGATTAGTACATGATTAGTGTTTTTTGTGTAGACATGTTTGGTTGGTTGGTTGCTTGACTGTTTTTCTCTCCTGCTGTTGCATCAATCCAGCGACGAGATTGGATTTATACATCCATCCCAGTTTTCCAAACTGAAGGAAGAGGCAGGCAGCTCCAAAAGTGCTACGTCTGAAATTATGGGGTACGATAGTTCAGATTTTTGGCTACAAGATCATAAGTTGGGCATATCAACAGAGATTCTTCATCCTTTGTACATAGCAGCTAGAAACACATTTATGGCTGCTACTAGGAAATATAGGAGCTTTTGCAACCAAGATGCTCAAACTGTGGCTGGAGATCATTTATCTGAATTGTCAAATTCATTTAACATTGTTGAAAGTGAGGTCATGAAGCATAGCAGAGCTCTTTTGTTGCTGAGCTGCGATTTTGGCACTGCTTGGAATTCCAGGTTTCTGCTTGGAGTTACAACCATTTTTTTAAAATCGGTTATCTATCATCATGTCCTACTTATCTATTTACGATTTCAGTTCTAAATTTGAAACTATCAATTCATCTACTAGTTTGTTACAAGAAACTTACTTGAGGAGCAAAAGACTGTATTTCCTGGCCTGTATCAGTTAAAATATTCGTTGTTTGTTAAATGAAAGGACCATTACTTATTTTATAATAGTACAATAAACATCGAATTTGTATTGATAACAATGGTTTTTCCAAGATTAACCATAGAACCTGGTCTCATTTGGATTACTCATAAGATTTATTATTGACTTGCTATCTCATGGTGTGGAATTTAGGAATTATCACTTCTGATTGTACCATGCGTGTAACCGACAGGAAATTCATATTATCAAAGAAACAACATCTCTCAATGTATTTGGATGAACTTCTCTTGTCAAAGCTCGTACTTTCATATTTCCCCAAGAGTGAACAAGCATGGTGCCATAGGTAAGGATTAACTAGTTGGTGCAAGTTTGTTCATACTGATATAATACTGTTTGAGGATAGGTTATTATTACTCTCCAGATGCTTTAATGGAGGCTAGTATCATTAGCGAGATTAAAACCCAATTCTTTCTTTATGGATGCATTTCTAAAATATAAGCTTCTATTATTTTTCCACGATAAATACTCTTTATTCCCCAAAGTAGCTGCTGCATTTGGTATATTGTAGGGCTTTTGTTTTGTCAAGAAGTTTTTATGCTCGTATTATTTAACGTGTAGAAAAATGAGGGAATATTGTTGCAAGCTTATGTAGGGAATTTGTTATTTTGTATATTACTTTCCACAACCTAATGAAAAATGAGTTTCATAAATTTTATGTAAAAATTAAGCACGTCAGTTCTTGGCAGGCGGTGGGTGATCAAGCTGCTTGTTCAAAAGGGCTATACTGTTGAGGAAATTTTGAAGAAAGAATCTGAGCTAGTGGAAAGAATAGCTGAGGTTCAAGGACCTGCATATTATTAAAATTTGGAAGCTCACTATAGCTTTCCATGCATATTGCATATTGCTGTTTCTCCGAAGGGTTATTCGTAGACTTCATGATGGCCTCCAATTTAAGACTTGAGTGACATTTTTTTTTTCTTCTAACTTCTAATTTTAAACAAGCATAGAAGTGAACTGCAAGGATTGTAAGAGATCTCACTCTACATAGGATACTAAAAACTCAACTATCACCCTAGAACTCACAAAGTGATTAGAATGGATTTTTACCTTGTACCTGTCAATACCCGTTCGATAATATGGAGAAGCAAAGTTTAATTAGGAACAGCTGCCCATGGGGGATGAATACCTGAGATAAACTGAGCTTAGATATTTTCTCATGTACATTAATATAGGGATGCTCACAGGTCGGGTGGGATGGGGATGACTTCCATATCCCTGTCCGTCTCCCATTGGATTCTCAATCCTTGCAACTATACTCCATTCGATCTTGCAGGGAAACCATTTCCCATTTATTTATTTTCAGTTCAATTACATGGATTATATTATATATCAAATTATCTAATTATTCGCCTATCTTGTTCAATGTTTGTGCCAAATTTGTTGAAGAGCAACAAGGACTCATTCCTACTTATTCATCTGCTGCTCCTTTGCTCAAAAGTTTTGGGCTTTCTTGCCTGCGAACTTCTGATGGCCACAACCACGCATACTTCCGTCTTTAATATCATTTGAAGTGTTCTCCTTGGGCATCCCTTCAAAGACCAGAAACAAATTATTTAGCTGAACATTGTGAAGGTAGAGAGGAATCATTGGACTTTCAATCACCGAATCTGCGTTGGAATCTTGTCAAAGGCATTTACAAGTTATGCTGCCGTCTACCATTTCCTATCCTCAATCGGCCTTTATGTTAGGGAGATGAATTGTTGACCCTATTCATATAGGTAGCTAATAAATTGGTTGATGAATGGAGGAAATAGAAGAAAAGTTTATCTTCAACCATGATCTTGAGAAGGCTTTTAAAAGGTTGATTGGGATGTTCTTGATGAAATTTTGTCTAATAAAGGCTTTGGTGAAAAAAACACAAGATTTGGAGCTGCTTTCTTGATTTTCCACTAGATTGTATTTATTTTGAACTCTTGGTAGATGCTGCAAACTTGATTTAAGTAATTGATTGTAACTGGAACCTTGTTAACTACCTTCCTGTTACAATAAGAACTTTGTCTAATCTAAGTTACTTTCATTTTGGTGTAGATGTACAAAATGAATTACCGTGCATGGAACCATCGGTGCTGGTTAGTTTCTTACATGCCAAGGGAACAGGTGGAGTTTTCTTCTTTTTTCTTGTTTGATATCTCTGAGTCTGAGGCACACAATTTGTCTCTTTAAGGCAGTTGAAGAATTGAGGGTGGTACTTTATACACGAGTCGTCCTGCTCCCTTGGCTGAAAATGATTTAACTGACTCCTTCAAAATTGGAAAAATGAGTATTTATTTGTCTGAATTCTCAAGTCTTCACAAGTTTATTATTGTAATGCAACGTGCACCTTTTGTAGTAATTTCCAGATTTTGTTTCGAAAATGTCTTTCTGGGCTCCATTTGCATTGTTCTTATTGGACACTTCAAAAACATCTATCTTCAGGTGTTGAATGAAGTAAAGAAAACCAGAAAATGGGCAGCATTGCATGTTGCTGACAATTGTTGCTTCCACTATCGTAGAGTGAGTTTTGTAAATTGCTTAGTGATCATACAATACTCAAATTATTTTGAAATGACGGTAAAGTTCTGATCCTTGAGCTTTTTTTCCTCCCTCCAGCGGCTCATTCTCAAAATTTTAGAGGATACAACATGCACAGAAATAAGTTCTGGTCTCACCGTTGACATTTATCAAATGTGGAAGGTAAATTTGTTTATCCATGTCTTTTTAGTAAGCAAAATCGAACTTTCAGTTCGACAATGTTTTTCTCTACATGCAATAATGGATCATGTAATGCCTTTTTGAAAGTTTACTATAATAACTGGAATTGAATCCTTTACGTTTTCTTGAGTATAAATTTAATGCTGTTAAATGTCAACATTTTCTTGTATCTATGCTTTTGATTCTTACATTTCTCCTGCACTAAGTTTTTCATTGACTCTAGCACACATGAATCTTTTTATTCTATTTTTCCTAACACTCCTGAGTTCTATGTCTATCTTGGAGGAAATTAGTGTTTGTTAGAGTTGAATCCTCTGAATGTTCTTGACATTTGCGAGCTTATGGGAGCAGAAAATAAAAAAATAATAAACTTATAATGAAAAGTTCTCTATCATTTTAGCGTCCATTCTTACTTGTGTTTGATTCGCTATTTAGTTGACTTTATCCATAAAAAATTGGCTCGTTAATATCTTGCTAATTGTTATAATGAAAGGAAGAGCTTGACTGGGATGAAATGCTGATAAAGCGATATGTTGGAAGAGAGGTACATGCTTCTCTCTCTCTTTCTCTCTTTTCAATTTTGTGGCTTCTCCTCTCTGTCGGGGGGGGGTGCTGTGGGGGCGTTCCTTGGTGGTCAATTGTAGATGAGTGCGTTGGACCCTCTGTCATTGATTTCACAGAGATTCAGTTGGAGAAGAATGTCTTCCAGAGTAGGCTGCTAAAGTCTCGATTTACTTTACTTTGTCATTGAATATGTAAAAGCTCAAACCCACCCACCGCTAGGCCTTCTTTTGGCTTCCCTTCAAGGTTTTTAATACGCGTTTGCTAGGGAGATGTTCCTACACCCTTATAAAGAATGTTTCGTTCTTCTTTCCAACCAATGTGCGATCTCACCATCTACCCCATTTCGGAGTTCAGCGTCCTCGTTGGCACTCGTTCTCCTCTCCGATCGATGTGGGATCTCACAAAATATATCCTCTTCAGTATAGTTCCCCTTGTCGTGACTTGTAGTAGTATTTGGATCGACCCTCGAAAACTTTTACTTATAGTCTGTGCTTTTGGCTACATGCCTCATGAACGGAACCTAGCATTCTGTTCTGCCTCGTTTGGTTCCTCCTCTTCAAGATAAAAAAGTTTTTTTTTTTTTTTTTTTTGCATCAGTTCAATCCTCTAATGATATCCATCCTTACAGGCTCTATGGATTCACCGTCGATTCCTTTTGGCGTGTTGGATGATACATTTTGTGTCCGACCCGAATACATGTGAGCAAGAGGGGGAAATAAGCAACAACTTCCACTTCTTTCTAGAAAATGAATTAAATCTCGTGAATTCCTGCTCATTTATCCCCAATGACGACTTTGAGGATTTCCAAGCACAAGCAACATATTCTGGTGCATATCTCTTGTGGTTGATCAAGGTGAAACTCAACCATGCTGAATCAACATCTTCATTTACTTTTATTAATCCGGGCTTTTTACCCTAAACCCAATAGAACTTGACTGATTCTTCCATTTTTTTTTATTCTTCAGAATTGCCCAAAGCCAAATATGATCCAACTGGAAGAGAAGCTTAAAGCATGCAATTTGAAGACTCTGCTTTACAAGGTATGCCCAGAAGGAAGGTATTCCCTTTGGAAATCTTTAATGGATTCCATTGAAAACTCTCATTAGTATGTCCGAAAACTCGATCTCAACTTCGACTTCATTCCTTTCCCAACGATAGTAAATTCTTGATGCAATGTTAACTTATGAACTGCTGTGAAATATTCTATTGGTTTCGATTGATCATAGTACATATCAAAGAAGCAAAACCATATATGAAGTTTTGAGATGAAGATATTAGAAACATTATTTTATATCAATCTCTTCGAAAAGACATGATTTAACCATTTAGCTTGACTTTGATATATTTTTTTTTTTTTAAGAAAACTTTTAGAACTTCGTACGAAAAATAATTTATTATTTAAAGTTGAGAAATTAAGATGGAATGTTTGATAGGTTGCATTAAAATAAAAATCTAAAATATATCACATTAGATTGAATTGTTAATGAAAGTATCACTTGAAATGCTACCAATAATGAAGGCTTTATAACTTTTCTATTTATTATTCTGTTAATTTATAAAGTTCTGGTGCGTCTTGGTTTTCCATAGGTTGTTAAAAAAGATTTCTGGTCATTTCTTTGAACATTTCTATAAGAATTAATTTTCAAAATTTTATTAACCCTTGAATATTGCATCATTTAAAGGCTAAAATATTCAGTCACTTGAAAGCAAAACTGACTTCAAATTTCTAAATTTTTTTTGACACTATGCTCAACACCTTTCAACGAAAGAGTCGATGCTAGAAACAATGCTAAAAACGCGTGTACAATTGGTGTATTTCGTACGTATGCTGGTTTGCACATGAAAAAAAAAAACAACATTTTGATGGTGCTAGCATCTTGACACTGCAATTATAAGCAATATATACTTGTCTCTTCATGGACCAAAGAAAGTGAGCCAATTTTGAGGGTTAACCCTGATTTTGATAGCATCTTGACACTGCAATTATAAGCAATATATACTTATCTCTTCATGGACCAAAGAAAGTGAGCCAATTTTGAGGGTTAACCCTGATTTTGATTCTTCCCTAAATAGGTGGTTTTGGGAGAAAATTGGGAGATTTGTTGTAGATTTGAAGCACGATATTGATAGAGATCATCACAAGGACGCAAGATCGACACAAGTTTAGCTACTTTTTTTGAGAAACCTGTCGAAATATAGATAAATTTCCTCCTTCCACATGAGGAAGAACCAACCTGAACGAATTAAGAATCTGTACTGAAGGACTAGAAATAACAGACCAGCAAACTGAACAGCAGAACCTGTTGTTCGAGACCTATCGGACACGGAAAAAATCGACGGCTAATAGCAAACCGGAGAGCAAAACCCGTCGGGAGACCTACTGAAGATGGAAAAAATCGATGGAGGGTATTGGAGGCAGGAAAGGAGAGAGAAGAGAGCATTATTAATCAAACTCATTGATGGAAAAGCAACAAGAGGAAGGCTGGAGAGTCTCCAGTTGGTAATTATGTAGAGATAATCAATCAAACTATGCAATAATTTATTTTAAAATGTGACATCAAGAAGAATTCATGACATTATTAAAAAGCATCTTTGCTATCTTTTGTAAATATATGTATAAAAAAGCTGTCATATGAGCTAAAAAAATTATAGACAGTAATAATTTCACATTGATTCATTAAAAAGCTAGGGTGAATGGCTCACAACACTTTACAAGATTGATTCCTTCAAGGTAAACATGTTCTTTAATGCACAATCACTTCTTCACTTAAATGGAGCAGAGAACAGAAAGCCCTACAGATACTAACTTGACCAAATTTTCGAACATGGGTTTTCCATATGATACCGATCACTTGATTGACAATTACGTTCGGGGAGTAAACGGAAATAAAAGGATGCAGATCATTCTTACTTGTGCAAGATACTCTTCTTTGGAAGCTTTGATTTCTTTTGAGTGTGGTTCTGTCATTAAATTAGTAGATTAAAAAAATCATCGATTTAAAGCATTGAATACAAAAAAACAAGAAATAAAGGTGCAAAAGAACACCCCCATGGATCGTAACTTTACCTTGTATCTTCCCAGGGCTTCGTAGTCTGTCCTCTCCTTCCAATTACTCTTTCTCAGTTTTATCGGCCTATTTCCGACGTACTTGCCTGTGATCAAGAAGGGTCTAAGCATATAAATGTAAATAGAATAGACGTCAAAAGAAGAGGCTTTGAGGATTAAACAATGGGAGATAAAATGATTTCAGAGTTTTTCTAGAAAATATAAGGGAGATATTGAAGCAGGTCGAACTCCTGATCTTCTTTCCAAACTCTAGCCACCGCACACCCTAGATGACGCCTAAGCTTGAGCACTAGGCCATGAGATTCAACCGTGCTAGTTCATGCAGATCGATGTGTCGTTCATAACTCGTAGGGAAAATTCCTCCAGGGAAGGTAATAAGAGAAATTTGGAGTCTATCTAACAATGTATTGTGTTTTTTTAGAAAGTAATTCCTTGACCAAATTGTGAATACAAAAAAACAATTTTCTTCCAAAATCTAAAATTTTAAATATGTCTTCAACATATTTCTGAGATAAAAAGAAAAACAAAAACAGGAAAAAAAATTTTTTGAACAGCAATGTTGTATAACAACCTAAATTGAACTTGTCAAGCTATAGCACTTCACCAATGAGGAAGGGTTTCTTTCTTATTATAACAATGTTATGAAAGCTAAGTTTCTCAACAGAAAAAAAGAAAAAAAAAAGAAAAAAAAAGAGGAACGGATTCAGATATACACAAGGCATGTCATGAGATTTGAACAAGAAGCAGAAGTCCAACAGAGAGATAAAAGAACTGCAGGATCCATATAAAACTAAAATCAGAGTAATTACCATTCATTTCTTTAAGTGCTCCAGCAAGGTCAGTAGGATTGGAGAAACTAACAAATCCATAGCCCTTGGTTTTACCAGTTCGCTTATCTCTAACAACCTAAAAACAATTATATGCATGTTATGTTAATCAGTTGGCAAAAAGAAAATATTCCACAGAGAAAAATGTAATCCACAAATGTAAACCATAAATAAAATATTGAAATATTTTGGGTCACTCTGCAAAGTCGTTAGCTAGTATGTTTTCCAAGAGAAGGATCAAAATTGTTTTGATGCATCAAACGGTACAGATCACTCCCAACACATTAGGTCAATTTGCAAAGTAACTAATATATTGGACAACTAAATGTAATAGAGTCGAGCAGTTGTCTCCATGAAATCGGTAGAAGTCGGCTCCAACATGTTCACACGTATGGTATTTGAGCCCTTTAAAACAATTGGGCAATGCCCTAGAAATGGATTGTTCTTCAAAAACTGCAAATGTTCGTGAGAAATAAATTATGAATTCCACCCGTGACATAACCAACACGATAGCATAAAATCAAGCAACTCTTCCAAGATAGGACCCACCCAATGTCATATATGGAATGGGAGAGAAGATAAAGATATTTCATGGTATGACTCTACAATGACCACAAGCCAGGTCTATATGAACCGACATGGGGAAATCACAGGGCCCATCATTACAACTCAAGCTAGTCCATGAACCTGGTAATTTCTAAGGGATAAAAGCTTCATACAGAGGTTCCAGCTGCACAAGTCCCAATCAGATGATCATGTCCTCCTTAAGTAAAATTCTTGATCCTCACAATAATATCTAAGAAACATGAAAAATAGGTTTGAATCCTATTTTACTTCTGCAACTTGTATACTTAATTCATTTTGGTCTTTCAAATATTCTACTTAGTCCTTCAAATTTGCATAAGATAACCATATCTTTATGTCTTTGTTTGTCGAGTAAACATCCATATAAATAAGTTTTTGAAGCCATAGATAGCAGGTCAACTTATCGGACTGATTTTTTGTATGCCCTTTTGTGTTCTTCCATTACTCTCTGTGAAAGCTCATCATAATAATGAAAACATTAATAATAAATAGTAGGTTAGCAAATCCAAAATGATTACAAACATAAAAGAAGCAAAAACAGCCACGACGAAATTAATTTATTATCCACAGTTTAAGGGGTGAAAAAAGAACATTTGAAAGCTTAAGCTAAACAAAATATTTAAAAATTTAAGAACCAAAACAAAACAAATATGAAGTTTTTTTTTTTTTTACTAGACAAGGANTAAAACCTAAAAAATACAACAAAAAAAAAAAAAAAAAAAAAAAAAAAAAAAAAAAAAAAAAAAGAAAGAGATTCAAGGAATAGAAACCCATGGACATATCAGAAACCTCAAATGCTTTCATGATCATAACCACATGCAAATGTATATACAGAGGTACCTGATGCATTACCACCTTTTAAACAAATCAGAGCATTTCAAGGAAACTACTCATTGCGCAGAATGCCAAAAAAAGTGAAAATAAAAGGTGAATTACGTAGAATGTTGGAAAAAAATAAACTTACTCTAGCCATGTTAAAGGAAGGAAATCGTGAGAATGCTTTAGAGAGCACGTCATCATTCACTTCATTACCAAGATCACCACAAAATAGACGGTAATCATCTGCAAACAACAATGGACATTTATCCAAAGTAAGAAATACTTCTAGCTGAGGAAGATAAAAGTTAAAACTACATACCAATCTAAAAATTTAGAGTGTACACCAAAACCCACAACCTCCAAATATTCATGATTAGAAAGAAGGATAACGAAAGTCCAAAAAAAGAGAAGGGGAAGGAAGGGAGGAGATCAACGCCAAGGCGATTGAATGCAACCTCTTCTCAAACAAGTGACACAATTGTGGGAACAGCTCACAAAGAGGCTTGCCACCAACCCAGCTTATCCTCCCTAAAATAAGTATCAGACCCATTCTCAACATAACACTTAATGAACTAAAAAAGCTAAGGGAAGCCTTCAGCCACAATGGTCCAAATATTTTTGCCAAAACCTTTTAATCCATTGCTTAGTGCTCACTCAAAAATGTGTAGTCCATACCTACTCATAATGATTTTACACCAGAGTATTAGATTCCCTAGAAAATTGGCACAAGTCTTATTAAATAATCTCAAAGTATCAATGCCTAAACTCTAAACCACCATCAACTTCAAAACAATCTCCCATCTTACCACATGTGAACCCTCACCCTTATCAACTCCATCCCGTAGAAAGTTCCTCATAAGGCTCTATGCTTATACTCACAGAAATTGAGATTTTGAACTGAGAGGGGAAATAGATAGGAATCTTACTCAACACAGACTGAATCAAGGGAAGTCTCCCTTGCTTAAAGA